ACTGGAGATGTTCTAAATGTAGGGAAAGCAATACACGGAATAGAGGTCACATTATTAACTCCCCTAATACTTTTGAACGATTGCTAGAGAAAATAAATAATAAAATAGTCACTCTAAATGGAAATGGAAATTAAATTTTAAAAAACTATAGACTTCCTAAGCAATAAGTATGATGAAGTAAAAGAGGAAATAAAAGACTTGAAAACAATTAAAGAGGAAATGAAGAAAAAATGAGAATAATGGACAATACAACTTCCAAAATTAATGAACTAGAACAGCAACTTCTAAACAAAAACATAGAAATAGGGTTTAATAGTGATAATTAACATCTTGTCAAACAAAATATACCAAAAGTGTGGAGTGAAGTGTGTGGGGGAAAACTAGGTGAATGTGAAATAGAAGATATATTTGTGATAAAAAAGGTAAAATGTCAGAAATTAAAAGTGGTCGTAAAATTAAGTTAAAAAAAGTAGGGGGCAAAATTATAAATAATAAAAGGAAGAGAATACAAAATAAGGACCTGTTAAATAACAATGACAATCAATTCATATACATCAATGAAAACCTTATGCAATATTATTCAAATCTATAATGGAAAGCCAAAAACAAGACCAGAGAACAATTTTATATTCACTTGGGTAAAGAGTGGAAAAATTTTTATAAGGATAAATGAAGATAACAACAATGTAATTAGGATAAAAAGTTAAGAAGATTTGGAGCAGTTGAATTAAAATATATTTATTAAGGTTAAACCAATTACAAATACACATGGATAGATCCTTTCTCCTAGATAATTCCTAGTCTCTAAAGAACAAAAAAAAAAAAGTAGAAAAAATGTAATTTTGAAACCATGGATAAACTCTAAAATAAATGAACTGATACAACAGAGACATTTTTAGAAAATGGAAGAGAACTTCAGATAAAAACAAAGAATGGAAAGATGCACACAGAATTAATTATAAAAAACTTAGAAATGATGCAACAAAAAGAATTAAGAGGCTAAAGAAAGAAAATTTAAATAATGTATTTGAAAATAGCAGAAATGATATCAAACACTTGGAAAACAATAAATCAACTACTTGGAGTATCAGAGAAAACAAATCTTTAAATGATGTCATAATGAAAAATTTAGGAAGTAACTCAATTGATCATGTACTTGCCACCACTTTTCAAAAGCAAACCGAAATGATTGTAGATAAATGTAATCTAACAGTCTTGCAAAAAAATAGAATATCACAGAGTAACTTTTTTCCTGCTTGAAATAACATTAGAGGAAACTAATTTACTAATTAAAGGTATGGACATTAAAAAAGCTCCAGGAATTGACAAAATAACTATAAAAGACATAAAATTGAATCAATAGCACCAATTAAAATGAAAATGATCAACTTAATTATTAATGAAGGGACTTTTCCACATAAATTAAAAGAATCAATAACCAGACCTATTCATAAAGAGGAAAGTTTTTCAATCTATGAAAACTACAGACCAATTTCTTTTTAAATACAATAAGAAAAATATTTGAATAATACATATTACAAAAATTAAATAGCTTCCTGGAAAAATATCAAATAATAGATAAAAATCAATTTGCTACCAAAAAAAATAAAAGCACCATATACCTATTGGAAAATTTGGTAGACATAATTAATGAAAAATTATATTAGGGATTGCATGGGATAGTATTAAGCATTGACTTGTCAAAAGCGTATGATGTGATTGACCATGATAAAATATTGGTTGCGCTGGAAAGCATAGGAGTAAGAGGAAATGTTTTACAGTTATTCAAAAACTATCTAGAAATTAGATCAAAGTCAACATAGAGAAGTGAAACAAAAAAATGTGAAAAGGAGAATTCCAAAAGAAAGTTTCTTAGGACCAATCCTCTATCTAACATTTGTAAATGTCCTAAAAATTTATCTAGAAAATGGTTCCTATTGTATATACGCTAATGACAAGATGCTATTATCTATAAACAAAGACTAAAAAAAGGCAGAAAAAGAGTTACAGGAAAAATTCATGATATTCCAAAAATAGTGCCATGTTAAAGGGCTAATCATAAATGAGAAAAAAACAAAAATATTACATATCATAGCACCAAAAATTGCAAGTACCGAAGTTAAAATACTCTTTCACAGCACTGATTGTATATATAACAACTTTAAGAACTGTCAATGTAGCAATATAAATAATTCTGAAATTTTTGATCAGAATCTGAGCTGGAGGGTGCAGACTTTGGATATAAGCAATAATAAAGAACATGTGTGTAGAAACTAATTAGAATTAAAGATGTCGTATTCTATAACATTTTTAAATTAGTCTACTTCTCATTAACAGTCTCTGATCAATATGGAATTGGAGTATGAGGATCTGCATCAAAAACCCAAAGGAATATAGAAAAAACAGAAAATTATGAAACTAGAAAGAACACAATTTCATTCTACCAGAGACTTTTAAAAAATTAGGATTAATGCTTAAAATAGCTATTCCAAAACTGCTCAATTCTCTGCTGGATGAAATGACAGAAGTTGCATCCAAAAGAGAATTGAAAAAGAAACTAAGACTGGTTCACTAGACAAAACAAATAATAGAAAACACAAGAGAAAACAAAACAAAATAATTAAAAGTTAAGAAGATTTGGAGGCAGTTGAAACATTAAATCACTATTTATGTATAGGTTTAAACCAAATTACAAATACACCATGGATAGAACTCCTTTCTCCTAGATAATTCCTAGTCCTCTAAATGAACAAAAAAAAGTAGAAAAAATGTATTTTGAAAACCAATGGATAAACTCTAAAATAAATGAACTGATACCACACAGAGACATTTTTACGAAAATGGAAGAGAACTTCAAGATAAAAAACAAAGAATGGAAAGATGCACAACAGAATTAATTACTACAAAACTTAGAATGATGCAACAACAAGAAATTAAGAGGCTAAAGAAACAGAAAATTTAAAATTATAATGTTATTTGAAAATAGCAGAAATGAATGACAAACCACTTGGAAAAACAATACAAATCAACTACTTGGAGTATCAGAGAAAAAAATCTTTAAATGATGTCATAAATGAAAAATTTAAGGACAGTAACAACTATCAATTGATCATGTTACTTAGCCACCACTTTTCAACAGCCAAACCGAAATGACTTGTAGATAAATGTAATCTAACAGTCTCTGCAAAAAAATGAAATATCCACAGAGTAAACTTCTTTTCCTAGCTTGAAATACACATTAGACGGAAACTCAATATTACTATTAACATAAGGTATGGACACCATTACAAAAAGCTCCCAGGAATTCGAAAAAAATAACTATCAAAGACAATAAACATCTGAATCAATAGCACCAATCTAAAATGCAAATAATGAATCAACTTACATTATTAATGAACAGGCGACTTTTCCAACATAATTAAAAGAACAATAACGCAGACCTATTTCATAAAGAGGAAAAGTTTCTCATCTATCGAAAACTACAGACCAATATCTTTTTAAATACAATCTAAGAAAAATATTTGAAATAATACATATTACAAAAATAAAATAGCTTCCTGGAAAAATATCAAAATAATAGATAAAAAATCAATTTGCTACCAAAAACATAAAAGGCACGCATATACCTATTTGGAGAAATTTGGTAGACCATAATTAATGAAAATTATATACAGGGATCTGCATGGGATACGTATTAAAAGCATTGACGTTGTCAGAGCGTATGATGTGAATTGACGCATACGATAAAATATTGGTTGCGCTGGAAAGCATAGGAGTAAGAGGACATGTTTTACAGTTATTCAAACAACTATCTAGAAATTAGCATCAACCCAGTCAACATAGAGAATGGAAACAAAAAAATGTGAAAACGGAGAATTCCAAAAGAAAAGTTTCTCTAGGACCAATCCTCTATCTAACCATCTGTAAATGTCCTAAAAAATTTAATCTAGAAAATGGTTCCTATTTATATACGCTAATGACAAAGATACTATTTCATCTATAACAACAAAGACTAAAAAAGGCAAAAAAGAGTTAACACGGAAAAATTCATATATTCCAAAAATACCGTGCCTATGTTAAAGGGCTAATGCATAAATGAGAAAAACAAAAAATATTACATATCATAGCACCAAAAATTGCAAGTACCGCCGAAGTTAAATCATACTCCTTTCACAGCACTGATTGTATATATACACAACTTTTATAGACTGTCAATGTAGCATATACAATAATTCTGAAATTTTGACTCAAGAATCTGGCTGGAGGGTGCAGACTTGGATATAAGCAAATAATAAAGAACATGTGTGTAGACAACTAATTAGAATTAAAGAGTTGTGTCATTCTATAACCTTTTTAAATTAGTCTACTTCTCATTTAACAGTCTCTGATCAATATGGACATTGGAGTATGAGGATCTGCATCAAAAACCAAGGAATATAGAAAAACAGAAAAAATTCATGAAACTAGGAAGAACACAATTTCATTCTACAAGAGACTTTTAAAAAATTAGGATTAATGCTTAAAATAGCTATTCAAAACTGCTCAATTCTCTGGCTGGATGAAATGACAAAGTTGGCATCAAAAGAGAATTGAAAAAAGAAACTAAGACTGGTTTCACTAGACAAAACAAATTAATAGAAAACACAAGAGCACCCCACACCAAAACAAAAATAATTATTCTTTGGGAAAACTAAAATAATAATTATACTTATACTTTATTATTTTTATTATTATTATTATTATTATTATTAATTATTATTATTATTATTGGGTTTGTGTTGTTGTTGTTGTTGTTGTTTGTTGTTGTAT